ACAGTTTGAACCCACCAGCCGGTTCTTGGGAGAAAGACAGGGTTTTCTCATCCTGTAAGGAGTTTCAGTCTGGGAAACCCACAGGGGCAGTTCTACCGCGACCTATAGGGTCACTATGACCCAGAACAGACTTGGTGGGAGTGGGTTTGGCTCTTCTAGGGAGTCTCTTCCTCCTCGGGCTTGAACCACTTCTCTCTCCATCTGGTGCCTGTCACATGCTTCTGATTCACAGCAGGGCCAGGGGAAGAGAAACAGGAGGCTGGCTGCGGTGGCCGGGCTTCACAGGGCTCCCCGCTGTGGCCTCTGACCTCAGAGAAGGGCTTCCTTCTTGCTTCCCCAGGCTGCTCTCGCTCGCTGCCCTGAGGGCTGGAGAATGCACAGACTCAGTGTTCCGAGCTGGGGGAGGGTGTCCAGACCTGACCAGGTGTCACTCCTGTTCCGAGGTCCCAACTGCTGGAGGTGAGGATGGCAGCCTCTGGTACCTCCTCGGGGTTTATGGTCAGGTGAGTGTAGGAGACCGAGCAGCTTGGCCAGACCCCAGGGGAGCAGCAGGCTGAGTTCAAGGCAAGGACAGGTTTGTGGGTTGGAGAAGAGGAGCCTGGGGACAGTGGTGGCAACAGATGGCATGGTACCCCAAGAGTACCATGAGAGTCAGAAATGATGGCTGGGGCTGGGAAGGGACTGAGCGCTTTCCCCACCCCCACGGACTGCATTTGAACAGTGCCCTCCTGCCACAACCCCTTCCCCCTGGGAGCCTCAGCACCTTCATGTGCCATAGCTTGTGTGCTACTGGGAACTCTGGCCTCACCCTCCAGCCCTGAGATCACCAGGGACCCCAGGCCCCTGCAATGAACTGCGGCACTGAAGTGGGCCCCTGCCCCCGCCACCTGGCCTGGATGGTCCACCCAGCTGGACCCCAAGGGCACTTCCTTTCCTGAGCCTCAGGATCGAGGCTGAGGTTCAGCGTGGACAACGCTGGTTTGTGTGTTCAGCGCCCCTCCCGTGTCCCCCCAGTGCCCACCTGTGCTGCCCTACCTCCACAGGCCAGATGAGGTCCCCTCATGTCCCCTCTGGGAGAACCTGTTACACACCAATCAGCATCTCTCCTGTCAGTGGTTGACTGCAGCTCTTTGGAGTGGAGACAGGTGGGTGGGTGGAGGCATGATGGAGAGAGAGAGAATGACTTCACATTCACTCCATTTCCTGCATTCAACGGGCCTGTGGATGGGATTAAACACCCCAAAACCTCCCTGAGGGATGAAGTGCCTGGTTGTATCCCAGAGCAGCCCTTTGAAAAGCACCTGGGACGATCTGACTACCGTTGTTTGTCCGATTATCATGCCCGTGATGTTTGTAGCCTGCATGGATTCTCAAGTGCACGGGGTGGGGGGCTGGTTCTAAAATAAAAGTCTACACAGCTCAGTTTGCACGAGCGAGCACATGACTGATGCATCTTAACCTTTGCAGTCTGCTTGGTTAGTGGGTCTGTGCTATGGGGACCACGCCCCCATGCCCCACCTGACTCCTTGCTGGAAGTTTAAAGGTTATCAGGTAGCCAGGTGACTTGGCCCTAGATGGGTCTTTCTACCCTGGGCTTCCTCCCTGGCTTCATCTATACCGTTGCTTCTCATGGTGTCCAGAGCTGGGGTCCTCTGGAATCCTTTCACGTCTGGGCCCCAGTCACTTCCACTGGGGCAGGAGAGTTGGAAAAGGCTAGTGGAGATGCTGCTGGCTGCAGGAGGTGGTGCCAAAAGGCTGGGCGGCCCTCAGAGGCTTCCCTGTGCACGGCCATCCTGGTAGCCCTCCGTGGGCTTATTGAGTGTGCGCCTGCGTGCTTAGCTCCTGGAACGCTTCCCTCCTTCATGCCTCCCCCGTTGCCTTCCTCCATGTAGGTTTCTCGAGATCCAGAAGCCCCGGCTCTGTAAGATGCTCCGAGTGCTCGCCTTCGCTTACCCCTACACCTGGGACTCCCTCCCCATCTTCTACAGGGTAAGGGGCCCGGCTCTGTTCCTGGCAGTGTCCAGGGGTGGGGCATCTCCTGAGCTTCTGGGAAGTGGGAGGTGGGGGCTGACAGCACCATGCTGGGGATTGCAGGACACACAGGGAGTTAATTCCCAGGCACTGCCTTTATGGCATTGGCAGTATAGTCGGCAGATGGCATGGACTCAGAGCCCCTGTGCCCACCCCAACAAAATGAGTTGGGCTGCTAACCACAAGGTCAGCAGTTCGAAACCACCAGCCACTCTTCAAGAGACAGGTGAAGCTTTCTGGTCCTATATAGATATACAGCACGGGAAGACCCAGGGGCAGTTCGTCGCTGCCCTCTGGGGTCACAGTGAGTCAGGTTTGACTAGTTGGCAGTGAGTTTGCTTTGGGGAGGTGCAAGAAAGGAGTCCTGGTGGCTCTGGGGTTCCCCTATGGGACTGCCAACCCAAGTGTGGGTCGTTGGAGCCCACCAGCCACTCCACGGGAAGCAGCCTGCTCCTGGAGATCGACAGCCTTGGACGCCCACAGGGCCAGTCCCAGTCTGTCCCATCGGGCTGCGGAGTCGGCACCGATCCACAGCAGCGGATTGTTTTGTTCCGTTTGTTGCTTGCTTGTTTTGGGTGGTGCAAAGGGTTCAGCTCCGGATTGAAAGGTGGGCAGTTCAAACCCACTCAGAAGGGTACGGCCGAAGAAAGGCCTGGCAATCCGTTTCTGAAAGGTCACAGGCTTGTGGATCGAGCACACTTCTCCACACGAGCACACTTCTCCACACACAGAGGCAACAAGCTTGTTACAGACGTCATTAGGAACATCCTGTTCAGCCGCTCTGCTGGTGAAAAGTGAGCTCAAATGCTGAGCCTGCCCCTTGTTACTACATTCACAGTGACCGCAATTAAATAATTAAAAATCCCAAAGTGAATACTCAGGAGCATTGAGAAGCTAAGATACAGTCACATGAGTCTCGGTCTAGCGCCCAGATAAAGAAATCTTCCCCCACGAGTGCCCCCTTACAAGCCACAGGCCCTGGGCAGTGCGGCCTTTAGCCTGTGACGTCGGAATAGGTGGACAAGGTGTGGGGCGACAGAGGTCCCCATCGTCTGAGACTGCAGGCACCTCGAAGAAAAATGGCTTCCTAAGGTGTGTGCTCCGCTCAAGATCTGATGTCTCCAAACGCCTGCAGCTGTTCCTGTTCCCAGGGGAGAGTGCCCAGAACGAAGCCAGCCTGTACCACCAGAAGCACCTGGCCATGACCCTCCTGGCGTCCTTCCTCTACTCTGCGCACCTGCCGGAGCGCCTGGCTCCCGGGCGCTTTGACTACATCGGTGAGTGCGCACGGGGCCTGCTGCCCGGCACCGGGGTGGGAGTGAGGCCGGCAGGGATGAGGCGGTCTGTCCCAGACCCGTGCGCTAAGGCTCTGACCACGTTCTTCAGGCCCAGGCCAAGGTGAAGGGAGATTAGAAGCTGACAGATCCGAGACACGTGAGGGAGCTTGAAAAAGTTGGTGGGTGCTCGCCTGGCGGCTTACAGGCTAAGCTTGGGCCGAGACAAAAGATGAGCCTGCGCCTGCGCAGTGATGGCACCCAAATCTGTGACGCGTTCCACAGTTCTTTTGCTGTTGGGCCGTTGGTAGAGCTTGCTTTCCAAGCAGAGGCTAATTATGATAATTAAGGGAGAGGTTTGAAAGTGGAAAGAAAAAAAAGTTGGTGGGGAAATCCCATCATCCTTTCCGTCCATTTTCCCAAGAACTTTCTGAAGCCCCTCATGATGTTGATGCCCTGCTAGTAGGACAGGGCCAGGCCCCTAAAGAATCCCTGTGGGCTCTGCAGCCCGGAGTGGCCTGTTCTTCCCTAGAACAAGAAATCATTTGGTGACCATGGAGGACAGATGGTATGAAGGATACCTGACAGAAAGCAGAGGTGGGTGGGTGGGTGGGTGGGGGTGCCTGCTTTGTCTTGTTGGAGGTGGCTTGGAGTAAGAGTTATGATGCTAGAGAAGTGGTCCTCGGGTGGGGGACCCAGACCAGCAGGATCAGTGTTCCCTGGGAACCATTAGACATGCAGATTCCCAGTTCCCATCCCAGGACTCTTGAACCAGAAACTCAGGAGTCGGGCCCATTAACCAGGGATGGTGTGGCTCTCCCGGGACCCCAGCTCACTGAAGGGTGAGAAGCCCTGAAGTCAGAGGAAAGTATGGGAGCTCCAGGGGCTCCCCTGCTGGCAGAGTTTACCAGCTCATCCAGGGAAGGAGGGGTGGGCTCTCAGAACGTCTCCCAAACCTGGCTCGACTGGCTGAGCACAGGGCCCCCTTGGGTGCTGCGGGCAAGCTTGCGGACCAGAGTCCTTTAGCTCGACTCTTGTGCGAGTTGAAGGGCCAGTCATTGTTCCCCAGCTGATGGCCAGAAACTTGGGCTCTCCCCAAAACGATCTCCACGATTTCCCATAATCTCCTACTTAGGAGCCGTGTCAATCTTTGTGTTGTTGGGTCTGGTTAACATCATCTCCCTGTCCTCTTGTTTACAGAAGGACTTTCAACGAGCTAAATGCTTGTAGGGCAGATTTCAGAAAGGGGGGCCAGAGCCCAGGGAAGTGGAGGACACACTGCGGGCCAATCCCACCTCCCAGCCCCACATTGGTTAAGCAGAGGTAGCCAGGGATGAGGTCTTGGGAGTGGGGGTGTGGGAGAATGAGGTCTGGGCTAGTTTTCTGTCTTCTTAATAACATTTCATTTATCAACTCTAGCCCTTTGTCATGGGCCTCAGGATGCAGAACAGAAAAACACCTGGGCAGGAGGTCTGGGCAGGGGGGTTGCCAGACAGCAGGAGACAGGTGTTCAGTCCCTCATTAATTTTGTCCACTGGCCATGGAACTGCCTCTCCAAGGCTAGTCCAGGAATCTGTGTAGATAGTGAGGGCAGGGGCATGGTTGGCACTGGCCAACCTCTTCCTGTTAGGCAGGATTGCTGAAACCACGCTTCCTGCGGTGGCCACATTTCAGATACGTCCCTTGCTGGTGGCCTTTTATCTCCTGCCCCAGGGGAAGCAGGCTGGAGTGTCAGCTGGTGACTGCCGCCCATCCGTGGAGACTGTGTCCTTGAAAAGCACCGCTCTCTGCTGGATCTCACCCCGATTGGGGAGTCTTTGCAGCCTTTGAGTAGACCTTGAGCAAGGTGGGGGTGTCACCCCCCAGGCACACCTTCTTCCCAGAGGACACAGTCCTAGGTGCTGGGGCTCTGTGCCAGAGGAGCAAAGCAGACAGCCACCTGGAGGATGCTCACCCCTTCTCTACCGTATTCTCGATTCTACTTCTGCTGTCGAGTGGAGGCGGCCAGGCTGGTTAGTTCCTGGGATGCATTACTGAGATCGTACCCCGGGATAAGTACCAGAGGTACAATACTGGCTTTTTAGGAGCATTCTCCTGTGGTCTTAATTCTTATGTGTGGCCTTCTGCTCTTATGCTGGATTTCATAAGGTTGTCCCGCAAGTGGTCCCCTTCCCTGGGCTCTGGAACCCACTGGGCTGTGATCTGCAAGGTCAGTGGTTCAAACCCACCAACAGCCCGCAGGAAACAGATGGGGCTTTCTACTCCCATACAGAGTCACAGTCACAGAAACTCATAGGGGCAGTTCTACCCTATAGGGTGTCTATGAGTTGACATCAGCTCGATGGCAGTGAGTTTGGTTTGGTTTGGCTGACCACACACTGTGAATCCCACCCTGTACCTGAGGCAACTGCTAATCTACTTTCTGTCTCCATAAAACCCCAAACAAACCCCCTACTGTGAGTCAATGCTGATTCTTAGGGGCTGGATACAGAGTTTCCAAGACTGTAAATCATTATGGGGCCAGACAGCCTCCTCTTTCTCCCTCAGAGCAGCTGATGGGTTTGAACCACCAACTTGGCAGCCAGCAGTCCAACGCCTAACCCACAGTGCCCTTTTCTGCTTCTTCAGGTTTGCCTGACACGGAATCATTCCAGCACGTGGTCCCTTGTGTCTGGCTTCTTTTGCCCAGAAGGAGGTTGTTTTGGTTTGGTTTTGTGCACATCGGTACTCTGTCCCTCTTCAGGGCTGACCTGGTGGCCTTGTGTGTGCTCACTGCAGGTCACAGTCACCAGCTGTTTCACGTGTGTGTGATCCTGGCCACGCACATGCAGATGGAAGCCATCCTGCTGGACAAGACGCTGAGGCAGGAGTGGCTCTTGGCCTCCTCCAGGCCCCTTTCTGTCCTTCAGATCACCGGAGCCATCCTTTTGGGGGTCCTCTTCAGCCTCAGCAACATCTTTTACTTCTCAGCTGCTCTCTATCGGACCCCCGAGCCAGAACAACGCAAGAAAGAGACGTGACTCGGGCCACCAGCGTTTCGTGCCAGATGCCGACATTAAACCTCAACCCCCTCACCCCCGTCCTTGGTGCGATGGCCTAGAACTGTCACAATGATTGGTAGCTTGGCGCTTGGGAGTGGGTACGTGGTGGAGATTGGGGGACACGTTTCTAAGTTTGCTTGGATTCGGTGTGTGATTTTCAGAGGCGAGTGTGGGTTCGGTTCGTCAGGTTACACGGTCCTACGTGCATTGAAAACGGGGTTTCTGTCTATTTGAGTGTGGCTGGGTGTTGCACCCACCGAGCAGCCTTGGGTGTTTCTCCGAGAAGGGAGCTTGCTCCATTTGATGAATCCCTCATTGCAGAGCTCCTCCTGAGAGCTTCAAGGAGGGGCAGCCAGCCACATTAAAAGGAGGCAGGTTGGGCAAGGGCACTGGGAGAGACTGGGAGAGGAAGAGGGAAGCGGGGAGGCCTGGGGCTCAGAGCTGGGAGACATTCTGGCGTGAGGAGTTTGGCTCCCTCACCTCTTCTCCCCACAGGTCCATTCTGCCTTCCAAGTGAAAGCCCTGTGTTAGCATGACTTTGGAGTTCAGAAGCTTCTTTTACCCAAAAGGCCACAGCCCATCACAGGGTGCCCTGTATTCTGTTCCACGCTGTCTTGTTGACAATGTGATGTGCCGAGCAAGTTGAACATGTCGGGAGGGGTCAACTGAATTGCTGGTCATCTGTTGTGTTCATCCAGCACCGTTTTCACCTATGAACGCACCATCCTTGCGGTGCCAGGCATTTGATGTTGCTTCAGCTTTTCCCACGTGCCACCGGATTTTGCATTCATGTGCAGAGGATGCTAAAGACCTTACCAGGGAGACAGGGTCCAGTGTAGGGACCCTAGTCTAACACTGTACTGTAAGGAACACCTGGAGAACCTGTGAGTTCAGATGCCGAGTCCTGGGCCCAACTAGGAGGTCCCACTTCAACAGGTTGGAATGTAGGATTTTAGCGAAAGCGTCACTGGACCATGGCCCCTTGGGGTCGCTCGAGGCTAGACTCGAAATGTGCCTTCCAGAAAGATCTGAGCCAGTCATCTAAGTGATAGCAGCTTGTCCCCCAAAGACACTGCCCTCGCTTTAGGCTCAGCAGCTGCCTTGTGTGAATAGGTGAGCACTTTCTCATCAGCTGCATTACAAATGGAAGTTCAGTGTTTCATGGTATTTGCAGGGAGGACCGAAAAATGCTGTGGCAAGCCATTTCTATCAGGGGCCCATTGTCCTCTGATCTGCACTTGCTAATAACTTAGGAAATCCTCCCTTACGATGTGGGACCTCTGCTGATTCAGGAACACCCCAGACCTTAGAATATTACTTCTGCGATTAAGCAGCCCAGACCCTGGAATAACCTTGTCAATAGTTCATCGTCCAATCCTCCAAGACCAGTAACAATTGCCACTGATACGTGTGGTCGAGAAATATGAGCTCATTAGCTTTATTATCTGCTTGCTGCTTCTGGGAACAGCAGGGTGATACAATAAAATAATCTGGGCTGGTAAATTGGAGGTACAGAATTGCCAGCCGGCAGTACACAATTTGTTGCTTTGTGAGTGTGTGCCATCAGCCAGACACTGGAATTCTTCACCAGCAGGGGTAGCTTCTGCTCCAATGTAATGTAACTTCAGTTTCATGGTGAAAGAAGGTAGCAGGTTTAAATACCCTGCCTTGGGGCGGGGAAAAATAAAATGCCCTGTCCTACACGGCCAAAGACAAAATGACTCAAATTCTCTTTCTTACAGAGAGTAAAATAATTCTCAGTTTAGCTCAGAAGTAGGAGAATGATCATGGATGATTCACTTGAAGGACCTTTAGATGATTTCATCTTTGATCATGTTACCTTTTTTTTTTTTGCTGAATGGCAAAAATAAAGCCTTACATCAACAGAATCAGATGAATGATTTCCCATTTCTCCAAGGTTGGTACACTTCATGCCTGTGGTACAGTTTTGGAAATGGTCAAGAGTTAAAAATTTTAAAACAGCTTGCAGGACACCGCTGTGGAATCATCTGATGTCAAACGAGAATGGGTTCAAATAGTAAGAGTTCGATATTAGACCTCAAATGTCCAATGTGTATATTGTTTTTACCCAAGTCCAAAGGGTGGGCAGTGGGCCACTGGAAGACCTCGCTGGTAAAATGTCTTGCAGTGCAGTGGGTCTCAAGGCTTTTGCTTTGTTTTCTTCTGGAATGTCCCAGTCCACCTGTGAGGAGATGTGACATACTACTATTGTGAAGAGTCTCCGAAGAGACTTTTGAGGAGAGACAAACTCCGAACGAGCTGCCCCTCTCTCCCCAGCCCCTGCTTCAGAAATACGACCCGGACGCTCCAGCTACTTCAGCTGTGATGAAACTTGAGCGTGTTTGAATGAGGGCATTCCGGTCAACTTTATCTCCCTTGACCACCGAAAGGGAGCCTCTTTAGAGACGCAATCTCCATCTTCTTCCCCAAGAGATGCACTCGTAAATATTGAGCGTTAGAAAGGTGGAGGCCTTTTGGGTACAAAGTGATTTACCAATTTGGTTTGCTGCAGTGTTTTCCAGAGGGGTCTTGCGCTGGTGTTTTGTTTTTGTGGGATCCCCTACCCACGAAGTTCTGGGAATGTAGAGGAGAGCAGGATGGTGGTGTCGGGTGTTAGACTCTTCATTTGCATCTACTGTGTCCCCCCACTTTTTTTTGTCCTGATCCCTTTTTAATAACAGACACCGATGAACACTGTGTAACACTTTACATGTGGTGAATGTTTCTGATGTTCTAGCTCACAGTCTGTACGGAAATGTCGTGAAATGGCAAAAACTCATTTCCAGACTCAGAGATGGTCTAACTTCATGAATGTCTAGTTTTCTGGAACCGTGTGGGGAAAGTGAAATAAAATTTATTTATTATAATAATGCCTCCTGCTTCTCATTTGATTCGTTATGTATGCTTTATCCAACTCACTGCAAACACATCTACTCACCATGAGCGATTGATTCCTGTACATGTGTGCACCGCTGAATCAGTCAATAAACAGGTGAGCCAAGGCGCCCTGGTGGCACAGTGGATTAGTGCTCCAGAGTTAACCAGATAGGCAATCGCGTGCACCCCGCAGCTGTTACAAGGAGGAAAGATGTGGTAGTCGGCTTCCTTGAACAGGTTAGGTGCTGGAAGGATGTACAAATGGAGGGGAAGATGTACAGCGCCTGAATTTCACCAACAAGCCAAGGAATGGGCTGAAGAGAGAAGGACTCCCCACCCTAACCCCTGCCCCTCAGCACTAACCAAGGGTGAGAGCCTGCTGCTGGAGCAGGTGCCTGAACTTGGACTGGTAGCTCCTGAAACAGGGAGAAAATGCCCCCAACTTGTCTGTCTGTGAGAGCAGCATGAGGAGCCTGAGACAGTTGACTCTGACCTTCCACAGCTTGGGGGGGTTCTTGGTTGTAGTCATGGCATTTTTGAAGCGTCCAGTCCTGTTGTGTTATCGGCGGTCACTTGGTTTGTGGGATGCTTTCTTATGATGAGATGATCTGAATCAGGACTATCAATCACAGAAGCGCTGGTTTCTTCTATAGAAGGCATGTGCTGTCACCTAGTTCTGTGGCTTGTGTTTTACACCTTCTCTTTGTAATCATTACGTTGTAGGGAGAGACACTTTGAAATCACCTAAAACCCTGTTCCTTAAGCGTTCACCCACTAGTGTTAGTTTCCATTGATAATTCTTCCCCAAACCAGTTACGATGGTTGTCAAGCAGTGGTTTTTCTAATTGCATCATGGCCTCTACAATTATGAGCTGGTTTCCTGCTCTAAGGAGGAGCGGATGCATGCGTGTCAATCATTGTAGACACAGGAGTTCTTTATTCAATTGGTTATAAACCTTCACGATTATTATAGCTAATGCTTAAAATTTTCCACGTTGGATACATGGAAATCCTTCCAAGCAGGTGCCTATGGCTTTTTGACATGTTTCTATCATTCTTTGAGTATGTTCTGACCATCAGATGTTTCAGGCTTGTCGTGTAAGGGACCTTCTCCATCTCAGCCCTGGAACCAGCTGTTTTTCCGCGGAGCTCTGGTTTCGTTCAGTGGAGGATGGCATTTAGAAGCCAAGGTCTGAGTGCAAGGAGTGCTCATTGTGACTGAGGTGCCATTGCTGTTCAGTCTTCTCGGGAGTAAGAGCTGTAAAAGATATCTGTATGCATACACCCACCCCGTCTGTCAGTTTGTCATAAAGCCGTGACTTGTTGCTAGGATGCTGGAAACTATGCCGTGGGTATTTCTGTATACCAACAGTCACCCATGATGGACAGGTTTCAGTGGACTTCCCAGACTCAGACAGACTAAAAACATAGCCCTAGGGATCTACTTCGAGAAAATATAGCCAATGAAAACCTTGTGGTTTTCTAGTATTGTCTAATGTAAAGCTAAATCAAAAGGCACTCAAAATATACAGCGGCCAAAGCATTGGGCTCCAGCATAGCAAGGGTCTTGAAGATGGCCCAGCCAGGCAATTTTGTACTCTGTTGCATATGAGACTGCCAGGAGTGGGAGCCCGCTGGATGGCAACTTAGAATAATACACACGTGTTCGCTGAGCACACCCTCCCTTTCTGGCACAAGATTTCAAGTCCTCTCGCTCAGTTCTGGAAGTAACTATTTGTCCCCGGAGAATGGCATTTAGAAACCAAATCGGGCTGCCAAGAGTGCTCCTTGTTACTGAGAAGTCACTGCTGCTAGGCCATCCCAGTGGTTAGAGCTGAAAAGGAGGTCTATGGGTGTACAAGGGGGCTTCAAAAAGTTTCTGAGAAAGTGAAATGATCTCTAATTCCATGCTTCCATGAACGTTCGAAGCTCCCCGCACACACAGACACAAGGTACACCCCAAAACACAGAATTTCCCCCCCCTCTAAGCTATGTATTCAAATTTTTTACAAAAAACCCCACCTTATCCCATTCAAAGTACTCTCCTTTACACTTAATACATTTGTCAAGTATGAGATTCCATTCTTGGAAATATTTTTCAAACTCATCTGGATGGCTGGCAGCACTCCCTTGTTTTCTTCTTCACCTCTTCCATGCCGTCAAGTCACTATCTTTTCATGTCCCTCTGCATTCACAGAAACAAAAAGTTGCATGGAGTGAGGCCAGGTGAGTCAGGTGCATGGGGCAAGAGAGACATGCTGTTTCTTTGCCAAAAACTGGCACACTGAGATGGCTGTGTGAGGAGATGCATTGTCTTGGTGGCAAAACCAGTCCTTTGTCTGCTACAAATCAGGATTTTTTTGTTGCACCCTGTTACGCAATCTTTTTAGAACCTCTAAAGAGAAAGCTTGATTAGCAGTCTGACCTGGTGGGATGAACTCCAAATGCACTACGAGTTCAAATTTCCATCCATTTGGAAAGTAGATGGATGTCCAGAATGAGGTTTGTCATCAATTGACATTTCACCTTTTTTGAAATGAGAAAACCACTCGTACACTTGAGGTTTTCCCATAGCGCTGTCCTTAGAAGCTGTGTTCAACATCACAACAGTTTCTGTGGCATTTTTCCTGAGGAGGAAACAAAAATTCAGAGCCACATGCTGGTCTCTTACATAAGCCATCACAACAACAACAACAAAAAGAGATTTGAGCGAAACTATTTTTAGGAAAATATTCACTGTGACCAGAGAACCTTCCCAGGTGATGCTACTGGGTGCACTAACTCAGAGTGAGTTGCTTGATGCTTGCCTAGTGGGAAAAATGCGTACTATGAAAGGTCCGCCCAGCAGAGCTTTTTCCGTTTTGGGGGGAGTACCCCCCTCATATATCTGCCACCTATATACAAAAATACAAGCATGTACGATTTGTTGAGGGCCTGTGCAAACGCAGCTTTATCCACTTATAAATCTATCTATGTAACATCGAGTTCAACCTGATACATCTGATTGCACTCCATTGCCCAGGACTCATCCCAGCCTTCCCATTTGCTACACTCCTAACTCAACTGACAAACAGAAACCTGGCTCTCCCTGTGGACCAAAAAAAAAAAAAAAAATGTTTGCTTCGTCCTGGATTGTACAGAATATTATTTAAGAATTACTAATCCAGGTCTGGACAATAAAGAAGCCTACTTGTTTGAATTCAGTATCTATTTCAAGTTACTTTTGTTTTGAGCCTGAAGGCGTACAGTATTGTCTAAAGAGTCTAAATTACTTACATAATTACTAAATTGCCCCCTTTGTGTGCATGGTACTCATTTGAAATAATGTTGGGGTCATTTGTTTGTTTATATACCCAATTATCACAGCCTCTCTAAACTTACTCTACTTTCTGACTGTAAGCAGCCCCGTGTACAACATCCTCACACTTGTTGCCACGCTCCAGCCCACTGCTGCCGTCACTGTCAGCTATCTCATTGAGGTCTTCTTCGTTTCCGTGACACTACTTCACCACGCATGATATCCAAGGGCTTCCTATTCAAAGCACAGAGACAAAGTCTTGTCGTTCTTGTGTCAATGCATCTTTGGAGCATATGACACATTAATTAACATCCATCCAAAGGCTTTGAGGGAGAATGATCGGGTGATCTGCTCCCATAAAGATTTCAGGGATGGGGAAAATGAGGAGCTGAGATCAAGGGCTCAAGTAGAAAGAAAATGCTTTAAAAAAAAGAAAAGAAAATACTTTGAAAATGATGATGGCAACATATGTACAAATGTGCTTGGCACAATGGATGAATGTATGGATTGTGATAAGAGATGTAAGAGCCCCCAATAAAAATGTTTAATAAAAAAACACCCTATACAATATCAATATTTAAAAATATCACTGGAATATTTTGAAATACAATACTTACCTACTGCCATTTAGTTGAACTACATTTGGGTTTCTTAGAAAGTAAATCTTTATGGGAACAAAAAGCTTCATCTTTCTCCCACTTAAATACATTTTATCCTTAATAAATATTGTGAAAATTATTACCTAACCAATATTTAGTGTTTCCATTTACTCAGATTTATTTTACATATCTCAATAGTTTATGTTGATTATAAAATTCTCATTAATATTAATATTAAAAATAATACAATATATATCCAATTTGAAATACATCCCTTATTTTTTCCTTTAAAAAAAAAGAATTCAGCCAGGAAAATGTATGGGACAGAATAAATCTATCATGTGGAGTTGAAAGTCAACTCTATGGCACCTGTAATGGATTGAACTGTGTCTCTCCAAATTACGCGTTGTCAACCCTAACCTATGATAATCCCATTTGGGAATGAGTTTTGCTATGTTAATGAGGCAGCATTTGTGTATGTGCCTTTGGTAAGAGATAAAATGAGCAGATTAGGCCAGGGTGTGGGGATAGATTCCAAGCCACGTGAAGATCACCCGGGAGCTAACACTCAGAAGTAAAGCACCTTCAGGTCGGACTGAGAAAGCTTACCCCTAAGAACCTTGGCTTTCTACCCTTCTAAAATGAGCAGCTACAGTTCTGTCAAAGTTACCCACTTGGGATGTTTCTGCTATAGCAGCACTGGGTCACTAAAACTTCAGCTGACAGCATTCAGTCACCTGACCTGGGGGTGTACAGCATTGGTTTCCAGGCTCCGAGTCAACAACAGGCTGGGAGGGCGTGTTGGGGGTGACTCCTTGGGGCAGTCAAATCTCCACCTCACCACTTTTCCTCACACCCAGCTTCAGCAGTTTCTCATGATTGGTGCTTACTAAGTCCCCGCAGCTGGTCTTGCTTATCTAAGTGTTTATATGAATTTATCATTTCAGCCCTTCCTCAGTGATTTGCTTACATCTCTCCCAGCCAATTTGGCAGTAACACACACACACACACACACACACACACACACACACACACACACACACAGATCAGCAAGCTCACTCAGGAGAAATACAATTGCACGTCCATACACAAATGCAAATATTTATACCAGTTGTGTTCATCACCCAAAAGTGGAAACAAGTATCAAGTAGCAAAGGGATAAACTGGTGCCCCCACACAACGGAATGCAATTTAGCAGTTGGAAGGGAAGGGATGACTGCTGCACGAATGTATCTCAAAAGCATGAAATTGAGCCAAAGGAGAGATCTAGAAAAGACAGAACTGTAGGGAAGGAACTCAGATAAGTGGGTTCCCCAGGGTGGGAGGAGGGGTTCACAGTGGCCCACAAAAGGGTGATGGAAACATACATTTCGTTGTGGTGGTTACAGAAACAGTATACATTTGCGAAAGCAACACTGAACAAAGCACACCTAAAAAGGGTAACCGTTACTCTAAATCGCAATATACCTCACTCAAAGGAAAAACAACCTCCCAGTCCTTTTCCTCCCGTCTCCTTCCTGCCTGCACCGTGGGTTCTGATCTCTAGCTCTTGGGCCGTGGGTTCTGATCTCTAGCTCTTGGGGAAACGTAAATTCAGGTACATTAGGGACTGGCAGATCAAACCCAGGAGATGCTCCGAGCAGGACCAATGGGGCTGTCTGCTTGTTAAAGGATTAGAGCTTTTGACATCCTCTGTCGGGTTGCTGTGAGGTGACTGCATAGCAGTGGGGTTTGCTTGCTTGCTTGCCAGAGAGAGTAGAGGCCAATGGGATGAAGCAAGCAGAGATGTCGGAGGGCTCTTGGGGACTGGGAACTGGCAGGATTCAGTGAGTGGATGATACATCAGGGGAAGCAAACCCCTCTAGGTGGTTCCTTGGACTCTGGCTTGGATGGTGAATGACGACCATCGAGGCCTACTCCCTTCAGGAGAGGTGTGACGTACCTGTGGGCCATTCAAGTGGAATGTAGACGTCTCAGGAGGGCAAATATGAGTGATATTGAAGCTATCGGAGTGGCTGTGAGTGCCCTGCACGGCTAGTGACCAAATCAAAACCCTGAGCATCAACATGACAGAGGGGAGAGGAATCAAAAAAGAGGCTGAGAAAGTGAGGTTGAGAAAAAGCTTTTAATAATCTACATTCCAAGTCAACCTTTTTTTATGCCCAGGAGATACGCTTTAACACAATCGAGAAGTGACGGTGTAGGTCTAGGAAAGAGTTGGAGGATCTAGTGAGGGCGACTTTAGAATCTAGAAAGGGTCTACAGAGAAGGGAAATCAAGCTGGAGTGGTGACATGGAAGTCGGAGAGGGGGTCTGAGCCGGAAGGTCCAGCCCTAGACCAGGACACGCCTGCATGGGAACACTACTGGCCTTTGAATCAACTCTGGAATTGGCCGGTCATTGGACTTCCTGTCCTGCGGAAAAGGGAATCTTCAGATCCTCATCGGAAAGTGGAAGAGGTTGGATTTCATAATAACTGAGATTTCTCCTCCGGCCCCGCAGCCCTGCAATCCACGTGCCGCCGCGAACCCGCCGCGTGGGTCCCCTAGGAAACGAGCGCCGCTTACGTCAAAGGGCTCTTTTCCCCGAGGCCCCGCCCCTTCCCCGAGGCCGGGCGCTGATTGGCCCGTTTGAAATGCGCCCGGCGCGAGCTTACCTGGGCTTCACGGGCCTGGC